CTGTATATTAGATCTCCAGAACTTATTAATCTTGAATAAGTGAGRCTTTTTACTCTTTGGTCAACATATTCCCATTTATCCCTTCAATCCCCCATAAGGGATTGAACCCAAGGGTGCTTAACCATTGATCCATATTCCCAGCCCTGCTTTTTTTCCCTCATATATTTTTTAATTTGAGAYMAGGTCCCACTAAGTTACTCAGGGCCTCACTAAGTTGCTGAGGCTGGCCTTGAACTTGTGATCCTCTTGCCTCAGCCTCCTGAGCTGCTGGGATTATAGGAATGAATGTACCATTCTGCCTGGCCCATTTGAGTTTTAATTTTTTTTGACAATTCTATTGTGTTTTTATTAATGTGTTATAGTGATACATAATATTGAGGTTCATTTTGACATAATCATACATGCATAGAATATAATTTGCTTCACTTCAGTTCCTAGAACTTCCTCTTTCCCTCCCGTCTCCCTCTCCCTGTCCTTCTTCCTCTACTCTCCTGGTCTTCTTTCTATTTATTTTTAGTTTTTTTTTTTTAAATTGGTGCTTCATAGAATATATAAAGGTGAAATCCACTGTGGTACATTCACATATATACATAGCACTTGGTCRATTTCATTCCACTTTTCCTACCTTTGCCTCCCCGTCCCCCTCTCCCTCCCCGTCTATCGTCTTCCCCTACTCCATTGATACCTCTTCTATTTTCATGGGATTTCACCACTCCACCTTTTCCCCCTTATTTTGGGTCTAGCAGCCACATAAGGACACAAAGCATTCGACTATTGAGTTTCTGGGTCTGGTTTAATATATATAGCAGTGCAATTCACAATAGCCAAGGTTTGAACCAACTGTGTGCCCATCAACAGATGAATGGTTAAAGAAGACATGGTATATATACACAATGGAATTTTACTCAGCCATAAAGAATAATGAAATTATAGTACTACAGTAAAATGGATGAAAATTGAGAACACTGTGCTAAGCGAAATAACCCTTTTTATTTTTTAATTCTAGATAGGATCTCACTAGTTTGCTCAAGACTGGCCTTGAACTTGCAATTTTCCTGCTTCAGCCTCCCAAGTCACTGGGAGAAACACAGTATCTAGCTAGCTATGAGTTTCTTATATGGGTATTAATTATTTATCATATATATGATTTAGAAATTTTTCCATCTTCAGTTGCCTTTTCATTTTGCTTCTGTGCAGTACCTTTTTTAGTTTAAAGTTGCCCCACTTGTTTATTTTTGCTTTTGTTCCCTTATCTATTAAGCATTTAAGGAAGAATTAAAATCAGTTCTGGTGTATGGATGAATACTGCATTATGAATCCCATTATTACATATAATGCACCATAAGAAATCCAAAATCTATGTAACATCTTCCATAAAATAGAGAAGGGAATACTTGACAATTCATTTTATTAAGCATTACCCTAATACCAAAACCAGACAAAGACAATACAACAAAAGAAAATAGCAAAACAGCAATATGTAAAAAAGAATTATATGATGAACAACTGGTATGCTTCAGGAACAAAAGTCTAGTATAACATTTGAAAAACCAATCAAAGAAGAATGACTTGGGAAAATTAGTTTACAGTATTTCAGAACTTATTACATAGCTATAGTAGTGAGGTGTGTGTGGTATTGACCCAGTGGTCAATATGGAGATCAATGAAATAGTACATAGAACTTGTGAGTCGACTCATATAAATATGCCACCTGACTTGTTGCAAAAGTGCCACAAGAAATGCAATGGAGAAATGATAGCCTATTAAAAAAAATGGTACTGTAGCAACTGGACATCCATAGACAGACAGACACACACACACACACACACACACACACACACACACGCACACACATCTGCTGTGCGACTAGCACGCTAGCTTCATACTAGAGGTTCTAAACATAGAAGTTAACTAATGAGATAAAAATAAAGACACATAAACTCAATTTACCTTTTTCTTGCCCAGCTAAGAGACAGCCCTTCCTGGCTCCTGCTTCCAGCCACCTGATGTGGTAGCAAGGTTTACACAAGAGACCAGCAGGAGAGAGGGGAGAGCACGCCAGAGAGTGGGCTTTTATTGGGGAACAAAAAATTCAGGGGAAAATTCCATCTGATGAGGGGGACAGCATTCCAAGGTCAGGGTCAGTGATTGGTTTCAGGGTCAATGGTCAGTCACACCCCCACACGGACAGGCTGTCGAACCTGAAAAGGGTGGGGATAATGCTCTGACACAGCTGGCCTGAGTGCCTCACACCCAGTCAGGGAGGTACCCAATCACGTGTGAGAATGGCTTCACACACACACACACACACACACACACACACACACACACAAATGATCCTTGACCTAAACTTCAAGATTTATCTCAAATATTTCTGGGACTTAAATGCAATATCTAAAACTATAAAAATTTTAGAAAAACAGCAGAAAGTCTTCAGAATATACGACAAAGTGTTCTTCAATTTATACTGAGTGCTGAACCCATTAAAAATGGATAAATTTGATCTTTTAAAAACGTTTACTTTGTGAAAGTTCATGTGACGAGGATGAAAGGCAAGGTACAAGCAGGGAGAAAATACTTGAATAGCCTACATTTCACAAAAGACTAGTATCATGGCTGGGTGTGGTGGCACGTTCCTGTAATCTCAGCAGCTCAGGAGGCTGAGGCAGGAGGACTGCAAGTTCAAGACCAGCCTCAGCAATTTAGCAAGGTCCTAAGCAACTTAGAGAAAGCCTGTCTCAAAAATAAAAAAAAATAAAAAGGGCTGGGGTAAGGCAAGTGTGAGGGGAAGTTGGGCACTGAATTTTTAGGCCAAAGACTGATATTACAAACTATTTGCTAACTATAGAACCTTGGGCAAATCAGTTAACTGCTCTTAGATTCACTTTCTTCGTCTGTTAATTGAGAAGAATGTCTGTGCTGCCTACCTCACAGGGTTGTTGTGAGGGTCAAATGAGAATGTATGTGAAAGATTTGTAAATTAAAATTTAAAAAGAGGGCTGGGGATGTGGCTTAGTGTTTAGTACCCCTTGGTTCAATCCTTGTTACCAACAAAACAACAAAAAAACTTATATCTAGAATATATGAAGAATCCTCAAGTCATAACAGTAAAAGCAAAGAATCCCCTAAGAAAATGGCCAAAAAACATGAAAAGACCATCACTGTCATTGGAGGACTGAAAAATGGAAAACATTATTAGATATTACTACTCTGGAATGCTGTGGGGAGGGAACCTAGCCAGAGGCCAGCATTGCAAGCTCTTATCAGGGAACTCTGGAATGGGCTGGACCAGCTGATGCCATTCACTATTAGAATGGTTAAAATTCAAAATAAGGGGCTGGGTTTGTGGTTTGGTGGGTTTATACTTGCTTGGGTTTGATTCTCAGAACCACATATAAATAAATAAGTAAAATAAAGGTCCATTGACAACTAAAAAAAATTATAATAGGGACACCACCAGACACTGATGTAGATACAGAAAACCTGGATCACTCATATGCAGCTGGTGGGAATGTAAAATGATATAGCCATCCAGTAAATAGTTTGGCAGTTTCTTAAAAAAAAAAAAATTAAACACGTGCTAGTCATGGTAGCACACACCAGTAATCCCAGTGAGTCAGGAAGTTGAAGCAGGAGGATTTCAATTTCAAGGCCAGGTTAGGGAGACCCTATCTCAAAAAAAAAAAAAGGGATATAACTTGGGGTAGAGCACCCCCAGGTTCAATCCTCAATTCCCCTTCCCCCCAAATTAAACACACCCCCAGAAATTTCACTCTTGGGCACTTATCCCAGTGGATGTCCTGTAGTAACAGAAAAACCTGTGCCTAAATGTTTATAGCAGCTGTAATCATAATATCCCCAAACTGGAACCAATCCAGAGGTCCTTTCAGTGAGTGAATGATTAGACAAATTATGGTACAGTCAGACCTTTGAACACTACTCTGCAATAAAAATGCGCAAAACCCTGATACACAACTGGATAAACTGCCAGAGAATTATGGCAAGTGAGAAAAAGATAAAGCGAATCCAAAAGGCTACATATCATGTGATCCATTTAATTAATATTCTTGAAATGACAAACGTATAAGGGGAGAATGATTCAGTGGGTGTCAGGAGTTAAGGAGGGGAAGAGGGTGAGAGGGTTGTGTGTAGCTGTTAGAAGGGAATGAGATGGCTCATGGATTCTTGGGTGATTGTGTTGATTATATCAATGTCAATATCCTGGTTATGGTATTATACTTCAGTTTTCCAAGATTTTACCACTGGGAGATCCTGGTTGAATGGTTTACATCTTTAATGTCCCCTAAAAAATTGGAAGCTTGTGCCCAGCCCATGGTGCTATTAGAAAGTGGTGTAACCCTTAGGAGGTGGGGTCTTGTGAAAAGTTAGATCTGGGGGATGTGCTCTTGAAGGGGATTTTGGGACCCCATACTTCCTCTTCCTCTATCTTTGCTTCCTGGCTGCCAAGAGATGAGCAGCTTCCTCTGCTACTGCCTTGCCACTGGCCCCAAAGCAATGGGGCCAACCAACCACCAACTAAAGTCTTCCAAATTGTAAGCCAAAATAAACCTTTCTTCTTTTTTCTTGGGTGTTTTGTTATAGTACTGCAAGACTGGCTAACACACTGGATAAAGAATATTTCTTTGGGATTTCTTTTGCTGTGACTATGACTACATGTGAAATGCTAAAAATCTCAAAATAAAAAGTTTCCTTAAAAAACAGACCACCAAGGAGGATGACTGTGGGGGTGAGGTAAGAGGTTATGTACTGGCAAAGGAAAAGGGTTCAGGAGGGAGGGCAGGTAGGGGGATGCAGAGCTATTGGCCTGCTGGGCACCAGGGGCTGATAAACAGCTGCCAAGSGTGCCCAAGCACCACTGAGCTGGTGTGCAGATATTGCTCTACTAGCATCCACTGTTCACCTCCTAGCCGTGCCTTCACCTTGGGATGAACACCTGCATCTGGATCTGAAGGCGAGGCTGTTTAGGGGCTCGGCCTTAGTCTAGTGCCGCTGGGCTTCACAGTACCTGGCAACTACAGTAACCACAGGCACCCTCCTATCCCCTGCACTGAAGGCAGTTCCCTGGAGAAGGTGTCAGTGCTCATGGGCTTGGTGATTGCAGAGGAAAGGCAGGAGCCCATATTCTTGGAATTCACAAGCCTCATAGTGTGATGTGTGGTAGTGGGCATTGCCTACATTATCGATTATCACCACCAAGGTTTTTTCCGTTTTCTTTTGGCACTGGGGATTGAATACAGGGGTGTTCTACCAATGAGATACACCATACCCAGCCTTTTTTGTTTTTATTTAGAGATAGGGTCTCACTAAGTTGCTTAGGGCCTCTCTAAGTTGCTAAAACTGGCCTTGAATTTGAGATCCTTCTGCCTCAGCCTCCTAAATCACTGAGGTTACAGGTGTGCAGCATACCAGGCCCACCACTGTACCTTCAAAAGCAAGAATTCCTTGATGGATGAAAATTTGAAACAACAGCAGGAGTTTTCAGGCCTAGGTTGTTCCAGCTACTCACCAGAGTTTGCAAATAGTCATGACAAAGATGATCAGGCTTTAAATTGTCATTAGGTAGTGAAAGTGCTGTCCTCATATGGAAGAGCAGATATTGTGAATGCTGCTTAGGACTTTTGCCCATTTAAATGGTTTCCCTGATCCTGGATTAGTATTGAAGCTTGGTCCTGTGGATTACACATTATACTTTGTTCCCAAGTGAATCGGATTGACTAAGATTGTCTTTGTCTTCCTATTTAGACACCAATAATGAGGACTTTGTCTCTGCCCTTCCTCAATATGTATCCCATGAACAGTATCTGGGGAACTAGTGATCCTAAACAGCCCTAAAATTCATTTGGAAGAATAAAAGACCCAGAATAGTCAAAACAATTCTAAGCCAATAAATAAATAAATAAATAAAAATAAAGCTATGCTGGAGGCATCACAATATCTTGATTCAAATTATATTACAGAGCTATAGTAACAAAATTGCACAGTACTGGCATAAAAACAGATACATAGACCAATGGTACATAATAGAAGACACAAATAAATCCACACATCTACAATCTTCTGATCTTTGACAAAGGTGCCAAAAACATACATTGAAGAAAGCCTTTTTACCAAATGGAGCTGGGATAACTGGTTGTTATATATAGAAGGATGAAACTAGACCCTTATTTCACTCTGAATAAAAGTCAACTCAAAATGGATCAAAGAACTCAGAATTAGAACAGAAACTATGTAACTCCTAGAAGAAAACAGGGCCATTGCTCCAACTTTTAGAAACAGGAAATGACTTTCTAAATAGCCCCTTAAACAGAAAATAATGTCAAGAGTTAATAAATGTATACTACAGAACACAAAAGAAAAAAATTGAGGAAGGCCTTGGAAGATGGAAAGATCTAGCATTTTCTTGGATTGACAGAATTAATATTGTCAAAATGGCTATACTGGGCTGGAGTTGTGGCTCAGTGGATGGAGTGCTTGCCTAGCATACATGAGGCACTGGGTTTGATCCCCAGTACCACAATAAAAAAAAAACTAAATAAAACAAAAATATTGTGTTCATCTGCTACTAAAAAATTAATAATGGCCATACTATCAAAAGTGATATACAGATCTAATCCTATTAAAATTCCAGTGATGTTCTTCATAGAAATAGAAAAATCAATCATGAAATTTATTTGAAAAATAAGAGGCCCAGAATAGCCAAAGCAATACTAGCAAGAAATTGAAGCAGGAGGCATCACTACAGAGCTATAGTAACAAAATAGCATGGTATTGTCATAAAAACAGACATTAAGACCAATGGAACGGAATAGAAGACACAATCATACCCACATAAATTCAGTAATTTCATACTAGACAAACTTACCATAAACATACATCAGAGAAAAGCTAACCTCTTCAACAAATGTTGCCAGGAAAACTAGAAATGCATATGTAGTAGAATGAAATTGAACCATTCTCTCTCACCCTGCACAAAACTCAAAGTGGATCAAGGACCTAACCTTTTGGTGGAGTTTTTGGATCTTCTAAGTCTAAGATCATATCATCTGCAAACAGTGATAATTTGACTTCTTCCTTTCCTATATTTATCCTTTTTATATCCTTCTCTTGCATAACTGCTCAAGCAGACTATTTTTTGAGGGAAAAAGTTGTCCTGGTAACTTCTCACATGCTTGTATAAAAACAGTTAATGGAAAAATTTTAATCAACTTTGAAGCATACTACATAGAATACTACTCTTTGCACAAAATAAGAATCAAAACTTATTTTTCTTTTCTAGGAAAATATCCACTTTTACTATTGGGATTACAACTTATTCACCTTTTGTTCAGTATTTGACTGCTTAATTCAATATCTAAGTTTTTTAAATTCTGCATTTCAGTATAGTTAGAATTCTTTTTCAAATGTTCTTCACAACCCAGAACACAGACACCAAAGCAACATTCTCAAGTCACCTTGTTTAACTATAAAGAAGTAAGAAATGAAAATGGATGGGTTTCTGAAGATGAGTACTCTCTCTGCTCTGAAGATGAGCAAGCTTTCAACATTTAAGCAGAGTAGAACTCCACTCCTGAAGTTCCTTCAAACTGAGAATACTTCCACTTACTAAGTCAATCAATATATTGTTCCTTAAAATGAAAGTTTGATCACTAGGGAAAACTGAACAAAAAGTATTTTCTTCACCCCAAACAACCACCCAAATGGCTCTCATCACCCCCTCTGATCCCACAAAGAGGGAAGCAGTAGGGTCTAAAGGCTTTAAATCAGAAATCTTGACTTCTAAAACCCTGGTGCTATTTATTCAGAGTGGTAGGTCTATGTACTGTGGGAGACCAACCTTACACATGACTGGGTTACACTCCCTGGCTGGGTGTTGAGGCGCTCAGTTGCAGAGATGTGGCAGAGCTTTCCCCACCCTTCTTGGGTTGGAGGGTCAGTGTCTCGTGCATGGGTGTGTCTTCCTACAGCCCCATGGGTGAAGCTACGCTCACCTGTTCCTTTGTAATCTAACCCCTTGCCCTGTTTAGGATAGAATCTTCCATGGAAGTATCTTGTGTGTGTCCCCTTCTCTTACTGTGCCCTTGGGTGTGGCCTACCCAGGTGTCAGTCAACCTGCTGACAGTGGACATCATGAAGATAGACTCAGCCCCCTGAAACCTGACCCCTTGCTTCATTTGAATAACTTCTCCTCAATAAAAGGGGTCAGCATGTGCTCTTGCTCTCTCTCTTTCTGCAGACCCTTAAGGTCAGAGGAGCCGTCACAGTGACCCCAAATAAAAAGGTATTTGTTTCTCTTGTGTGGTTATTTCGTGCAGCCCAGTAAGCCTAGTTCAACTGGAGTGACCCCTGAGCCTTTTAGTCGTGAGAACAGAAACCTGGCAATGTACTATGTTCTCTAATACTTCCCTCATTTTTTAAYTTTATTTTTTGTATATAAGAGAGATTTTAATTTGCCTAAATTGTTTTGAATATTAAGTGAAATTCAATCAAAATCACAGAATTTATTATAAAATAGTAGTAACTGAGACCATACAACCTGAAAAAAAAGATCAATGCTAGAGAAAACTATAGCTGAACTAAAGACACTTAGAAGTAATTATGATAAAGCTAGAACACTTCAAATTTCTAATGAAAATATGACTACTTAGTATATATTGATGATAGAATGATTTATGAACAAAAATATTTGTATAACTACATTACAATATATAAAATCAATTACAATGCATTAATGACCTAATTATAAATGTAGTTAATATCTTCAAAAATATGAGCAATTAATGTCAGGCCTCAAAATAAGATTTTTAAGTAAAAACATGCTAAAATAAGATTTTTAAAGTAAAAATATTTTCAAGTTTTCTCAATATCCTAAAATATTCATTTGATGATTATTCTTTTTTTAATTAATTTTTTTATTTATATATGACAGCAGAATGCATTACAATTCTTACTACACATATAGAGCACAACTTTCATATCTCTGGTTGTATACAAAATAATTCACACCAATTCGTGTCTTCATACATGTATTGGATAATAATGATCATCACATTCCACCATCATTTCTAACCCCTGCCCCCCCATTCCCCTCCAACTCCTCTGCCCTATCTATAGTTTGTCCATTCCTTCCATGCTCCCTCTCCCTACACCACTATGAATCAGCCTCYTTATATCAGAGAAAACATTTGGCATTTGGTTTTTTGGGGGATTGGCTAACTTCCCTTAGCATTATCTTCTCTAATTCCTTAGAAAAGTTGGAATGGAACCACCATTTGACCCTGTGATCCCACTTCTCGGTCTATACACAAAGGACTTCAAATCAGCATACTACAGTGATGCATCCATTTCAATGTTTATAGCACCTCAATTCACAAGAACCAACCTAGGTGCCCTACCACAGATGAATGGATAAAGAAAATGTGGTATATATAAACAATGGATTATTACTCAGCCATAAAGAATGAAATTATGGCATTTGCTGGTAAATGGATGGAACTGGAGAATATCATGCTAAGTGAAATAAGCCAGTTCCCCCAAACCAAAGACAGGATGTTCTATCTGATATGATAACTCATATGATGCTAACTCACAATAAGGGAGGGGAAGATTAGTTGTTCATTGAACTAGACATAGGGGAAGAGAGGGAAATGGGAAATAGAATGATTCATACAGATATTTTCTATCCACATCTATGAATATATGATGAATGTAACTCAGCATCATGTACAACAACAATTATGGGAGTCTAACTAGAACAAGTCATACTTATTTGTATATATATAAAATTTCAAAATATACTCTATCATTCAAAAAAAGTTTTAAAAACAGAATGGGAGAAGATCTTTGCTAGATACTCTTCTGACAGATATTTATATCTAGAATATATAAAGAACTAAAAAATCTTTACACCAAAAAAAAAATAAATTACCCAATTGATAAATGGGCAAGAGAGCTAAACAGACAATTCTCAGAAGAAATGCAAATGGACAACAAATATATGAAAAAATGTTCAGCATCTTTAGCAATTAGGGAAATGCAAACTAAAGCCACACTGAGATTTTATTTCATCCCACTTAGAATGGCAGTCATGTAGAATACAAATAATGAATACTGGAGAAGGTTTAGAGTAAAATGAACACTTTTGGTGGGATTGCAAATTCGTTCAACCACTATGAAAGTCAGTATGAAGTTTCCTCAAAAGACCAAATGGAATTACTCTTACTAATGGCTGTTGTGAGACAATACATGAAGATTGAGAAGATTTTGAAAAAATGAGCCTGTTCCTCTTTGAAATAACATCTGAGATTTTTATTCAGTAAATCCAGTGATGACTTTGTACAAAACATTAAGTAAGATTGAGGCCTCTATGGGGAATACTACCAAAGTCTACAAAAAATAATCGAAATAATTTTACATCCTCTCTTTTATAAAAGAACAGTGTTATTATTATTATTTTTAAAATGAACAAATGATACAGGAATATGCCTGTAATTCCAGTGCCTCTTCTGCAGGAGAACTGCAGGTTCAAGGCTAGCCTCAGCAATTTGGTGAGGTCTGTTTCAAAATAAAAATAAAAATAAAAAGGGCGGGGATGAGGCTCAGTGGTTAAGTGCCCTGGATTCAATCCCTGGAACCAAACAATAATTTTTAAAGAAACTAAAAATGGTCTAGGGATATAGATCAGTGGTAAAGTGCCCCTGGATTTAATTATGAGTACTACAATCCATCAGTCAAATAAATGATCTTTTGACAGGTGTTTGAAAAAATAGACCACCAAGGAATATGGAAAATGAATAACATGCAGGATGATTATACC